AATATCAAAAGTGTAGCCATTTTTATTTGCATTCAATAATTATGTGACTTATTGTTGTGTAAATCTATTTGCGTTTGAAGAACAATGACAAAAAGGATTAAATAAAATGCATCAGGCACCAATGGCAGTCAAGGTTGCTGTTAATCTGCCATGCAAACACACTATTTGAATATCACAGTGATGCTGGTGTAAGTGAATGAATGCACTTAGGGAAGCATTTGATTTTGCCCTTGACAACAGGAACATTAATTAAAAAGTTGCCACACAATATTTTCTCAAACATCAAATCCATCAGTTGGAAAACTAAGCGTTACAGTGATAACAAATGAGTCAAATGATTGCAACACCTCAGCAGTACGATTTTTATTATACGATATTATTTAAGGCATCAGAGCAATATTTTTACCTGAGAAATAAATTACTGATGTAAACAGATGAAGAAAATAAACTGAAAATAATTTCAAATTAAAGCAGGTCCCACAGTGGGCCCTTTCAATGGCTCATTAGATTTCCAGCAAAGAAGCTCAATCCAAAATACACATATTAGAGCAGAAAGTCTTATGAACTTTTTCAGTGAGTGACCTAATGGACATAAAGACCAGATCACATGACACAAAGTGTTAAAGGATTATACAGTGAGACTTAATGATCTTAACCTGCTCCCACCTCCCAACTACAGAAATAAAAAAGAGCTTATTGTTGTTGATGCTAAGGTGGAAGCAAAATGAAGCAAATAGGGAAATAATATTAAATTGGGCTTATAAATGTGAAATAAAATGATGCAGATGGCATTTATGTGGCTTTGAGTCGCTTTGGGGTAAGTAATCTTGCTCCTCTCCTTATTCAAAGTAAAGTATGGAACTGTAGCTGTTGTAACAACTATTTTCAAATGTACTTAAGGTGTTCTCAAGGAATGAATGTTGAATTCACTAAAGCATCAAAGGAAGGGTTGCACGAATTGGCCAATGACGATGCAAGAAAAAAACCCTAACATCGGTCTACCGATGTATCAGTTAATCTTTCTGCTTAATACATTTTTTTTATTTTTGATTGTCTTTGTTTATATAGCACCAATTCATAACACATGTTATCTCAAAAAACTTTACAGAGAATTTAATTAGATCATACAGTCTGGTTGGTAAAAAGTTTTCGATCTAAAGAAAACCATCTGAATGCACGGAGTCATTGACTTTCAGGACATGCCCCTCCAAGATGGACTTAATATGTAATTGATATATTTATGCATGCAAAATGACGGTAATTGATATATTTATGCATGCAAAATGACGGTAATTGATATATTTATGCATGCAAAAAATGTATGTATATAATTCTCCAATGCTTATTGTGCTTATTGAAATGTTGAATGAGCAACAGCAGATTAAATATAGAGTTGAGCAGATTTGGCTCACCGCTCGGAAAGAAACTAGTCATTTTTGTCTTTTGCTTACAATTAACTCTTACTAAACACTTATCATTGTGCTTATTGAAATGTTGAATGAGCAACAGCAGATTAAATATATAGTTGAGCAGATTTGGCTCACCGCCCTGAAAGAAATTAGTCATTTTTGTCTTTTGCTTACCCTTAACTCTTACTGAACTGATGAGTTATAAAGTGTTTACAAATATATATGGGATTAACCCTCCTGAAAAAAGGTTGAACACAGCTCTCTGCTTTCCCCAATATGCTTGATTAATGCAATTAGCTACCTCTGCATTTACAGTCTTCTTTAGTTCTTTAGGGAAGATGATTTTCCTGTAAAGTGCTAGACATAAAAAGAACAGGTTCTACCTAACATGCATGCAGGTTGGTGCTCAAACAATTACAAATCCATGCTTCCAATTCTTGAACTGTGAAATCTTTAAAGTTTTATCCTCTAGTGCAGTGGTTCTCAACCTTTTCAAGTAGCAATCTATGTAAATACATTGCAATCTGTGAGGTCTGATCAGATCGATCAGGGCGTCCTGTGGCTCTGGTGACCAGTGATGCATGGTGAAGGTGGTGAAAGAATGACCTATCAAGTAACTAGTTATACTTTTCTGGCCTGTCTTCATTTGGGGAATACTTATTAAAACTTTCTAGCAGGCTCTGAGGTGAGAGGCAATACTTCATTTCATAGTTTGAATGGTTATGTCATAACTCTCCATAAAGACCTAAAGCTCCAGGAACATTTCAACATTTACCCCTCCTCCACTCGCATAGCCCACCACTCAAGCTTTCTCTTAAATGCTGCAACCTTACTGGACAAGTTTGTTGCTGTTGTTTTGGTAAAGCCTAATAATGATTTACAGTAACTGGTTTTGAAAATACCCGTTTGAGACTAACGTCTTCTACTGTCCACTAAGTACCTACATTCATTTTGCACATTTATATTTTGCCAAGATAATTTGCTGACCCCCAGAAATCATCTCACGACCCCAACTGGTTGAGAATGTCTCCTTCCAAGTATTCATAAGCAGCATATTTTTAGACAAAAGAAAACAATAACATTTCTATTATTCTTGTTATGAGTAAATGCAGTGACTGATCTGCTGTATTGAAGACCTGCTGTATGTTCACTTGGAGTATTTACCTCTAGATAACAAGGAAATGAAAACTTATATGATGGTGGAAAATTATCCATCTTTGTTTTTTTCTTTGTCTTTTCTTAATCTTTTATTCACAGGTAAATAAATATACAAGTATCAAACAGATAGAAAATTAACAAAGTGTATCTCTGTGTGGATTATTGTGATTCAGTTTGCCAAAAAAACTATAAATAAAAATTATATTCAGCTTAGGCTTTAAAGATTATTCCATTCATGTAAAGGTGAGAGCTTAACCAAACAATTAAGAGTTTGTCCACTCTTAAATCTGCCATTGAAATGGACCCATTGTGGCAGTCCGTGGGAGTGGGGATCGAACTCAAGCGCAATGCCCTAAACCAGAGGTCTTCAACGTTTTCCAGGCCAAGGACCACCAAACCAATGGCAAGATGGAGCAGGGACCCCCTTATTATGTATATGGTATGAAATTGGGTTATATCAAACTAGTCCTAATGTAACGAAAGTAATTTCTCCCTGGGATTATTAAAATATTTCTGATTGTGATTCCTGGTTGATGGGACAGGTGTTGTGAATGAAACGATGCCCAGCTTGAAAGATCTCCTGTGTGTCGTTGAATGTTGCATTGATGACTGAAAGACATCTTCTGCCTCCATTTATCTGTTTACTACAGTGTGTTGAATTCGTGTCAATGTGTTTAAAGACATTTTAATTAGTGGAAAAAAATTGCAGGGGGGAATATAAAAAAAAAATTAATTGGAATCAACCAAAACTTTCGCGACCCCCATGCAGTACCTCCGTGGACCCCCTAGGGGTCGCGGACCCCCTCTTGAAGACCTCCGCCCTAAACAATAGGCAGCCACTTCCCAAATCTTACCTCAAGAATCAACTAGGCCACCAAAAATATAAAAGTTAAATCCTTGCTTCACTTTTCCAAACAAGGGTTTTAAAATACTGCCCATCTGTCACATTGATTTTTTTTTTATTCCAGGGGAATTTCCAAATCTCTGCAGATCACACTTGCTCCAAATGTCTGTCAGTTTCAGACCTCGTGTCTCTGTTTCACACTGTGTGTAGGGAACTATTCCAAGGATTTAAACATCTGTGGTCTTACCAAGGGAAAGACGGTGCTGATAAGCGTGGCTAAGTATAGCTCTAATGATAGGACACATGCAGCGACGGGCAAGGAGGATAAGAGAAAAGTCAAAGTCAAGTAGCTTGAGTCGACAGCATCACAGTGACAGAGGCAAACCTATATGACCAGACATCAATGGAAGGATATCCACTATGCTTTTCATTTGTCTTGTTGTGCATCTCTAAACAATTTCACCAATAACATTAGAGAAACATAGAAGTACATGAAGGAAGTTGGATGTTTGCATGTAGCTAATTGTCTGGGATGCTGTTGAATCTTCACCTTCATCTATGGTGAATGTCAAACAAGTGACTTCACACATCTCCATGCTGTAAATAGCCCCTCTTAGCATGATGAAAGCACATTTTAACTTCCCATCAGCCTCAGGGGAGCCCCTCCTGGGCACCATGCTGTCTTGGAATGACTGCAATGCACAGAGTAATGAGAAGTGTGTGATTTCACACGTGGTCACGTCGCAGAGATACAGACCATTAAGGGCACTGTACAGAAAAATAAACACAGCTTCTGAATGGCTATTTGGGTGGTCTTTTATAGTCATTGTGGATGTTCAGCTGCTGTTGATGCAATTCGTCTGTAAACACACACTCAGCCAAGGTGGTGCACCATGGCTTTTGCCAACTGGTGCCTGAGGAAAACACATGGATTTGCATGTAGGAGCACGTGAGCATCACCGCCCTAATACCAGACAAACCACAGGTGTCCTTCTCAATTACTGACACTGTGAGTAAATCAGTCCCGCCTTATCCTGGACAACTAGTGCACTGAAGCCATGGTGCTTTACACCGTCTGGGCTGTACATATCACAGCTTTAAATGGAGCACACATATGCATGCTTAGACATCATGGTAGAGCCTCGACTGGCCAGCTGCGGTGTAAAAATATGATCATATGGCATCAAGAGCCCTGGTTAAAAGCTAACTTCTGTCAGCTGAAACTTTATGATTGTGTGAGTCATTATCACTTGCCCTTCAATAATGTGACGTACACTGAGCATACAGCTGCTCTACAAAAAACTACCAAAAAGTAGATTATATTTTCACTTTTCTTTTTCTTTTACAAGTATTAATCTGGAAACATGTGTTGGGGATTTGTATTGAGCCAATACTCCTCCAACTCCAATCAGGTAATAGCAACTTTATGTTATTAGTACAGGGCTGTTCACACAAGAAAACATAGGACCTTTTTGAACATCCTGGAAGATAACCACTTACAAAATGTTATGGTAAAAAAAAAAAAAATAAAGATAATAATAATAATAATACAATGTCACATTTTCTGAATGGTTTAGATCAAGGCTTACCTTAACCACGCCACTATAAGATCAAAGAAATAGTGAGCAAGCAGTCCACTTGTTTTCTTTGCAAATAACCTGTAGAGCAAAATAATAAAGATTTAGAGCAATGAAACCTGATGTCTGACTGTTTAAAACATGCAAAGATGCAGTAAAGAAGCTGGACTCGCCTGCAGAATCAAATAAACCCAGATAGGGGCAGTCACAATGAAAGTTTCAAACTGTTACACTAAGCGTGTTTTCATATTTTCAATCTAATCTTTCTCTTGTAATCTTTGTTTAAAAACACGACGTCACTAATGTTTACGATCCGTCAGATATCAGCTGATAGATGGACTTACAACAGAGGTCCTGAGAGCGGAGCAGGAGGGACAGTCCTAAAACAAAGATAGGTAAACTCCAAGAGGAAACAGCACAGCGGTTTGATTATAAACTAGAAAGGCGACAGAGAGCAGCATTGGTCTTTTCCCCCCAGCAGCAGCTCAGTTTCTCATTCCGACATCCGCCCTCCTCTCTCTTTCCCCTGCGAGGCGGAGCTTGGAGCTGCAGCCGTGGTCTGCAGTGACGGGGCGCTTTAATCTGACAGCTTTGGTTCAGAGAGGCTTCTACCCAGGGGCGGAGCAAGATGGGGGGCCAGAGGTGGCCATGGCCAATCATTGGCCACCCCTACCATTTTTCCCCGTCTTAAATATGGTCGGTGGTAGCAGGGGGAATGTTCAAACTTATTCAACATTTACATTTTTCATTTATTACAAATTACTTGACAACTAAAACACAGTGGTTAATTATACACATCAAAATACTAACATTAAAGTTGATATATATAGAATTTATGCTCTCTTCGGAACTAAATTTTGTGTTATACAAGAGAAAATTATGTGTCTCTTCAAGTCATCTAGGAGTCTTTAGTGAAATCATAGATAATAAAAACTGAATGTAGATATTATTCCATGTAAATATACATTTTATGAATAACAATTATGCATAAAAAGTAAGGACAATGGAAAAGATGTTCAACCTAGAAATTTTGTCCATTAAACCTTTTATTTAGACAGAATGGATGTTTAAATATATGCGTCTATTTGTTAGATAAGGCGGTAGGAAAGCATAGTTAGTCATATTTAGAAAATATGGATGTTGTGCTCCTTCCAGTTAAGACTGATCCTGAGGTTCTGGCGCCTATCCGTTTTCGGCCACCCCTCAGTGTACATTGGTTTTTTACTGGCCATCCCTATTAAAATTTTCTGGCTATGTCTCTGCTTCTACCTTGTTATATATAATTTTATTTTATTTTTTAGCTTCTGAGAGCTAGTAAACCTAAATGCTTTTTGTTGGCTTTAAAATTTTCTGGTTTTATATTTTTTTTACTTTAATATAAATAACAATTTAAAAAGTCTAAATCTCACCAAGGAGAACCTGTCGTTTGGTTTATAAAGAATAGTCATTATCACAGTGTTTATTGATAATAATTACTTGCATACAAGAGTGTAACTTTGTGATGAAGGTTGGTGGGGACACAAAGCAAAATCCATCAAGAAATAACTAAATAAATTCTTAAATTAAGTGTATTTACCCTTAATTTGAGTACGTAAATGAGATAGTTTGCCTATGGAATGAGTATTTTTACTCTTAAAATAAGATATTTAGATAATATGCACTTGAAATGAGACAATGCAATTATCTTTTCGTATTTTAAATGTAAATTGTCTTATTCCATTGGCAAAATGGCTATTTTACCTTCTCAATCCAAGAACAAATGCACTTACTTTAAGAAAAATGACTTATCTAGATTTTTATTTTTTCCAGTGCACTCTAACGGTGGTGGCTGATGGACTTACAGTTACTTGACACAAACTTTTTCAATAGGGCTTATGTTTTCCAAAAATGAGCTCAAACATATATTTATTGAATGCTTTCCTATTGTTGAGATCACAGAAGAACAAAAATACACTGATGTTTATATCTAGTCTATAGTTAGAGATTAATGCATGAAAAAAAAGAATGAATAAAAGCCGATTCTGATGCCATCAGCAATATAACATGCCTCCCTAGTATGTACACAAATTTTGTTTCATACAATCCTCCATCCAGAAAAATGTAGATTGATTGATTGATGGATGTTTTCCCTTTCAGCTTCATCATTGATTATCCTTCTTCTAAAGCAGCAAAATCTAATTTAGAAAATTGTTCCACATATTGTTGAGAGCCAAAGTCTATATACTGAAATTATTGCTGGTGACATGTCCGCACCAGTCCTTCAGAAAGTTACGCCTGTGCTTGAATAATACATTAACTTTACACAAACTGATAGTTGATATTATTTTTCCATCTATTATTTCTAAAGCATACCGGTACCTATTTCAGCCAAAGAATCAGGCATCCTAATTATTTTTTTATTTTTCAATTCTTTTACTGTTGGTGTTAAATATTTTCACATAAAAAAAAAGAAAAAGAAAAGAAAAAAACATATATTTCTCTATATTTTTGTGTATTTCACATGACCGGATTAGCTAATAAATAAAGCACATTAATAAAAATCAAAAGAAAATACATTTTTGAAGGAAACTTAAAATTTTTCCATTCAGCAAAAAATGCACTTTTTGTTCAATTGCTTAATTATTATGATGATGATATGATAAGTTTTAATTTTTGCTTAGATTTGTTCTGTTTTCAACACTTACCAGAAATGTTTGTGGTAACAGAGATTTTCTCCCAGAGGAACTTTAGTTTCTTAAAACAAATGGAAAACAAATCTTTGCTAAACAGCTAAGATTAACACAATGTTGGCGTAGCTGTATTAATACTTGATAGATTATATAACACAACCGTACACAAAGCCTAAAAATAGGTTACCTTTGTGGAAAAAGTTTAATCTCTAATTTAAAAAATATTATTAATATTAAAATTTTAAGAGATACGTAGTGTTCTGTGTGTGAGTCTGACATACAACCTTAGAGTAACCTCCAAATAAAGAGCCTGAAAAAAAATATATTTTGAAACCAATTGAAAAATACTTTTAACATAGACATGAGCTGTTTAGTGTTTTGTGCTTATGGTCAATTTAAACAATCAGTGCCTTCAATGCACAGAAAGGCAGTTTTTTTTTTATTTCATTGAATTCTTAGGAGAAATCTGGATTAAAAAAAACAAAGAATAAAGAAAAAAGAACTTACATTTTAGAATGAAAGCAAAATAACAGATTTTTTTCCTTTTCATCGTTTAACTGTTATTTATAAGAATAACCACTAGAGTGCAGCATTGTAACTTTATTTACCATTCATCTAATACTTTTACCATTTTTCTATTCATATTGCATACTTTAGTGCCGTGTTTTATGCATGGAGAGCATACTAATTGTGTTTGCAAGTTTTCATAGATGCATAAGTCCCAGTGTGGACCAATCCCAACTTTAGTTAATGCCATCTTCATTCTAAAGAAGACTGTCCTCTTTATCTCTCTCTGGAATGAGTTGTATTGGCAAAATGAAGCAGTGAAAAGTTCAGTTGAAGCAAAATGTAATGTGTTCTTTTTGTTCTTTTTTATTCTTTGAAGGATCTAATAGAAAAGAAAGAAAAGTTTAAGCACAGCCTGAAAGGAGGAGGGGAGGCACAAAGAAAAGGGAAGTACCTTGGGGCAAGGTGAAGAAGATCAGCAAAAGAACAGTGGAACAGAAGGTGCCGGTAAGTTTCTCTGTTATCAAAAGAGTATATTAAGAAGGAAATACAAGAAGCTGAGAATGCTCTTAGGATAAGTTGTTGATTTTATTCCTTTTTGATAGAAAATGTACGGTGTGTGGGGGCTGGGTGTGGGAGGTATGGTTTTCTGAAGCCTCTGTGTGCCATATTATTCCATATTGTTCCATCTTATCAGATTGATGTCATTATCAGTAAATTAATCCATGACAAACATTAAGACAAACCTTAATATATTCACCTTACCAAACTGTTGTATTTACACATTATTTGATCAGATGCTTTTTCTATCAGGTTTTACAAAAGTTAAAATAGAGGAAACCAAGTCTGGATTTCTCATAATTTTAGTGATATATTCACTTAATCTGTCCCTTTTTATTGCAGTGGAACGCTCCACCATGAAGCTGAACTTAATACTCGCCTTGATTCTCCTCATTTACCCATTCGCAGCCATCGTAAGTCTTTCTGAAAATGATTATCCAGCATATGATTGAAAATTATGCTACATTTTTGACTTTTCTACAGCTTTGAGTATAAGCTTAAGCTTCTTTTGATCATAATGTTAGTATTTCTTCTACAAAAGGTGTTTGGTCTAGGTTTCAGAATAGAAATCTCAGTTAAAGAAGCCTGGCTCATACACTCAACCACCTGTGATACATATGATCCGAGAAACTTTTGGGATGCAGATGTTGCTCTGGCATAAACTTCAAAGAATCTTGATATTCATATAAAGGAGATAGAATACATATCTTTTCATTCTTTTGGAGGCATACAACTGGTTTCCAATGCAACTTAAATGAAACAAACACTTATGATCCCAATTTGCTCTATAAATAACTTTAAAATACTGCCTTTGTGGTTCAGGGAGGAAGAGCTCAGCGCAGACAGAGACAGGCTGAGGAGAGGCTGGCTCCATACATTGGCAGAGTGAACCCAGGTAAGACTCATTTACGACTGAAATTCATTTTTGAAAAAACAGTGACAAAGAATTTTGCAAAAAATAAACTAAGAAAAAAAAAAAACACTTGGTCTTTATACTGTAATACATAAGCAGAACCAGAAAACATTGTATTGAAAGGTATTGTCCCCCATAAAGCTTTGCTGACACAAAATGTTCCAAATAATCAGACTTAATTCTGGAACAAACTGAAACATAACAGGAGTTATCCCATGTTATCCCAAAAGCTGCTTTAACTCTCTATTTCAATTATTCAATGGAAAAGCTTTGTAACCTGGCCCTGAGCAATAAGGCACTTGCCTTCTACTCATTCTACCTAAGTTAGGCCTCTATGGAGAGCAACAACTGCACTGGCAATAGGTGGCAATTAATATTGCTTTGGACAAACGTCGTACTACCTTTCCTTAGAAAGTCTTTTAATTAACTTTATTTTAAGGACTTTCAGGAATTATTAGAATGTTAAAATTCACATCACAATCTTTAAACCAGATGTAACCCTTTACAAAGATCTACTTTTGTGTTTTAAGTCGACATTTGGCTTTCCCAGTGGTCTCGGTTATCATAATCTTAATTTCTGCAAAATTTGAAATGATCCTTTGTTTTTTTTCAGCAGAGATTTTTATATTGGTGCTAACTTGACTTTTCTGTGACCTCCAGGAGGAGATATTTATGTGTTCCTGGAATAAAGCTTTTTACTGTTCTATGATTCCCAAAGCCTTAGAACTGCCTTTAATACCTTATTCACTCTGACAGACGGCAGCAACATTGTTTTTTTATCTGTTTTTTAATTCCCTTATGTCAGGGTATGAACTTTGTGTCTGTGATGTTTTAGCGCTCCTTTAGCTGTCAGACAATACAGCTCTTCCCTTAATAGATCAAAAGATTTGTGGAAAACTGCTGTCTGTATTTACTCAATCTTTTTCAGTTTTTGACTGTTGTTCTAATTGATTCAGGTGCAAAAAAAGGGAAAATGAATACATATGAGACAAATACTCTTTCTCAGCACTCATCGTATTCTCTCACTATCTACAGCTGATTGTTATACTTTATACCAATGACTGCTTATATTAGCTGTAGTACATATTAATTCAGGTTATACTAATTCATTGTGAGCATTTACTACTGTCTTCAGTTAAGTGTCAGGAGCATAATTTAATGGTAAAACGTTCAATTTATGTTTTTCTTCTTTCATTTACATTACATGATTCCTTTAAAAACCTTGATATATTTTGCTCAAGTCTTCCTTATAGGGAATCAACACCAAAAGCGAATGAATCATGAATAATGATATTTATCTTTTTATTGTTTCAGAAAAGCTTTGTGAGCTGCTCAAATGCCACAGTCCTGTGGGATCCTGGTGCCAGGTGGTTCAGGAAAAAGGAATTCTTAAACCGAAGTGTGTTTGTCCACAGTTGTGCCCACGGTAAATCTTATGTGACTTTTTAACAATGAAGTATCGCAAATAATCATTTTACAAACCCTCCTTCATAACTGGCAAAAACACTCTTGCAAAAGTATTTATACAACTTGAACTTTTCAGATTTTTCTCTTGGATCTACCAATAAATGTTTGCAAACCAGTAGAAAGTATTAAAAAGTGATGACGTAGAAGACATAGGAAATATATTTTGAAAGTATGTTATTTTAAATCTTTGGTATCGGCTTCATTTGAATCCTGAAGCCAATACTTTTTAGTATAGCCTTTTACTGTAATTTGAGATGCAACTTTTTTGGATTATCCCTTTACAAGTCTACACTTCTCGGGCATTTTATCATGCTTTTTATATGACTTGTTTGGTCTATCAATATATTCTCACTGACGTTTGTCTGGACATATATTTTTTTATCCTAACACTTCATATATATTTTGATCTAAACCATTCCTCTGGTTCTTACAACCCCATATTCATCAGATTGTGTCTTTAGGGACAGAGGCCTAGACGAAGGGGAATCTCTGCTCAAGCTTATCTATCTCTTATCTCTATCAATCATCTAATAAACTCTGACCTATTTCCCCTTTCCCACTAAAGAATGGCATTCCCAAAGCAGGATTCTGTCAACACTATGCTTTACTGTTGTTATGTCATGTTCAGTGTTTAGTGAACGGTGCTATTAAGCTCTCTGCGGACTTCAAAGAATATTTGCTTTTAAACTTAGATAAAATTACACATATAATGACTTTATTTGTTAGCTGACTTCTACTAATAGTTTGAGGGACTGGCTTAAATATAAAGGTCTTGTTTTAAATGGGAGTCATAACTAATAAAACATGCCTTAATTTTCATCTTATTGGAAAATCATATATCTTTTCCTTTCCCTTCTTTGTGCTCGTCTATTACATTAGATTGTTATCATGAACTAAAATGTATAAAAGGATGAATACTTATGCAAGACACTCAAAACAAAGGGTTAGCAATTGTAGAAGAACTTAAAATTTCTTAAACTACGAAGTTTGATCTCCACACTCTGTGATCCACATGGACACTGACTTGTTCAAACAGGCAGAGGGCACCAGTCTGCAGTGTTCTTGGAAAGACCTACAGGAATGAGTGCTTGCTTCACAAAGAAGCCTGTAGGAAGAGGAAACGCACTGGGGTGGCTCATACAGGACCCTGTCTTGGTAAACACAAACAATCAATATGTCACAGAAATTACACAGTGCTATCCAGCTTTTTTAATCAGCTCTCTTATTCCCCTTTATCAGTCCCCAAGAGCAAATGTACTGAGGAAGAGTTAGGCCAGTTTCCATACCGTCTCCTGGACTGGTTTCTTCTCCTGAGGCGAATGGGGCAGTCCTCTACACCCACAGCTCTGCCACAAACCTGTCTCAGCCATGCCCAGAGGACTCAACTGGCAAAGGTAAAGCTTTGTGTTTGAGGTGACCAAAAGCTGGTAAAGTATGGGGCCTTTGTTAAAAGAATAAACATGATTTATTGTCATAACATCAGCCAATGTGATGACACAATGCAAATCAATATCCACCACAAATTGGATTGCTCCAGAAGCTTAAACAGGAAGAACAACATGCTACGTGATCGCTTTCCCTCCCAGTGTAACACTAAGCCAAACACAAAGTTTTTTTTTTTTTACAACACACACCACCACTATATTGGTACCCTTTATGCAGTGTCAGGTGGCTGATTGATGTTAATAACCCAACTCTAAGTGGCAAGCTCTTCTGGTGCTTGTGGCCTGGTTGCCCACAAAGAGATAGGGGAACTCAGAAACACATTGTATAAATAGGGTTTAGTCAATATTCACTGAATTATTCAGTAAGATGATGAAAGAGGGATAACTTAAGAACCTCTCTTTGGCAACCTTGACCTCCAGACTTAAAATGTATGGAACTGATGCGTGATATAAAACAACAGGAGTATTTAAAACTTTATAAAAGCTGCAAATATGTTCATTATAGACTTCCATGAAGACATGGTTAGCTCTGAGGTAATATCTACAAATTATTTCAAACTACACAGCCTAATAGTATTCTTACATTTTGGTGTTTTGTGTTGTTTTTTTTTTTAATTTGGCACATTACCTTATATTTATTTTAAGGGGGTGTTATGGACCAACACAAAAGAGTGCATAATTGGAAAGTGAGCGGGGAAAAAAATAAAAGACTTAAAAGTGGTGACTTAAAACTGGGGGAGCTGTTTCCTATTTTTGAGCAGTTGTGCAATGCCTTAAATGTCTATATAACTTTCATAATGTTCTTTCATACATCTAGGACCTTCACCCAACATTTGTACACTTAAATGTGTAATTTAACACGCAAGTTGACTCTACAAAGTATGTAAGAATATGCATGTTCTCCCTGTGAGTGCTTAAGTTCTCTCCAGGTACTCTGAGTTCCTCCAACAGTCCAAAGACACGACTGTAGGGTTATTTTTGATCAAAATTACCCATAGGTATGAGTATGTGTCTATGCAGGATGTCCCCGTCTTACAGCAATACACCGCTGGATATGGGCAGCAGGTCAACATGACTGTGATGGACAAGCAACAGAAGATGGATGGATGGATGGATGGATGGATGGATGGATGGATGGATGGATGGATGGATGGATGGATGGATGGAT